GTATACATATATGTCATCAGCCATCAGCCTTCCTTTAAATGCATGTTTAAAATACACTACCAGTCAACAGCTTGGACACAGTTTCCCATTGTATAGTGCAGGTTCTTATGAGCTCTTACTGATAACGGCTCTTTGTAGATGTTTTATTACCCAAGACCACAGAACTATTATTTTATGAGTGTGTTCCTTTTTTGTGTTATACATATGTATGTGCAGGAGGTTAACGTGATACTGACAATAGTTTCACACCATTTCTTTGATTGATAGGTGGTAATATAAGCAGAAATTTGCCAGTGAAGGCAGGGAAGACTGTGAACAATAAAAATAGATACAAACACTGCTGCTAGACATTTTTCTTAAATTATCTTTTAAATTAGAAAGAAAATGCACTCAACATGCCTACTTCGTTCTAAACAATCTCATTTCCACTCATGATTTGGATATGCTTTTAATCACTGAAACATAGTTAAAACAAGGAGATAATACTCTTCTTTCTGAGCTCCTACCAGCCGACTATTTATTTCTTAACACCCCACGCCTCGCTGGTAGAGGTGGCGGTCTGGCATCTGTTTTTAAGCCAACCCTAAAATGTCGCCTTCTTCCCTCCAAGCCCGACTCCAGTTTTGAGTTGCAAACTTTTTTTCTAACTGGGCACTGCACTATCTTATGTGCAGTTATTTATCGTCCCCCGAAATCTAAGGATTTTATCAACGAACTTGGGGAACTTTTGGCAGCTCTCACTCCACAAACTGATTGTCTTCTGATTTGCGAAGATTTTAATATTCACATCAATTCCTCTTCCGACCAGCTAGCAAATGAGTTTAACGCACTGCTGGACTCCTTTGACCTTAACCAGTCAGTAGTATGACCCACTCATCAACGTGGGGCCACACTTGACCTCGTCATCTCTCGAGGCCTATCTGTTTCTATTAAGGATGTGTCAAAACTAGCCATATCTGATCATTTCTTCTTGAAGTCATGGCACCGACAAGGCTGCCCAGACCGGTAGCCCCTGTTCAACACCACAGAACTATTGCCCCCTCTATGGCCTCAGACTTTGCCGCTGCGTTTTAGCTTCAGAACCCTACTCCTCACAAGGTTCTATCCTGGCGCCATTAATTTTTTTATATCTATGGCACCTCTCGCGTCAATTATATCTCGCCATAAGGTTCACTTTCATTTTTATGCAGATGACATCCAGCTCTACATGCCACTGCTCCTGTCTGCTGCAAATGCACTTACTCCGTTGTGTTAGTGACATCAAGCAATGACTTGCTCAAAATTTTCTTCATTTAAATGAAAGCAAAACTGAATATATTCTCATCAGCCCTGATTCGGCGGCGGTTGCAGCTAGCCTAGATGCCTCGGCCCTCCCACTCACAGATACGGTGAAAAACCTTGGAATAATTTTTGACAGTGGGTTCAACTTCAATAAGCTGATCAGAGCCGTGGTCAAGACCAGCTTTTTTCACCTAAGACTTTTAACGAAGGTGAAACTTTTTTGCCACCTGCCGATTTAGAGAAAGCCACTCACGCTTTCATTACCTCACGTTTAGACTACTGTAATGTCCTTTACGCAGGTGTCTCTCAGGCTTCACTCCTGAAACTTCAACTAGTCCAAAATGCAGCAGCCCGGCTGTTATCAAACTCCCCCAGGTATGCTCATAATACCCTGGTTTTTCGTTCCTTACACTGTCTCCCAATACAGTACAGAGTTAAATTTAAGACGTGTTTATTTGTTTTTAAGGCTATCCACGGACTCGCTCCGCCATACCTGTCGGACCTTCTGTCCAGGTACACTCCGTGTAGAGCCCTTCGCTCCTCAAAACAGTTGTCCCTGGTTGTCCAGCGAGCTCGATGTAAAAAATGGGCGCCCGTTCTTTTGCTGTATATGGCCCCAGCCTCTGGAATTCCCTTCCTCTAGAGGTACGGTCTAAGACTGAGTTACCCAGTTTCAAGTCGGCTTTAAAAACCCATTTCTTTAAGCAGGCTTTTTATGCTTAATCCGCTCTCACATCCCGCTAATGTTGTTTTATCTTGTTGTGCTATGTTACTTCTACTTTGGCATGATACTTTTATAATTCAGTTTTAGAAATCTGTGTTTTAATGTGTTTAGGTTTGATTGTTTTATCAGGGTTTCCATCTGGTATATTTGTTTTACTGTGCAGCACTCTAAGCTCCTTAGAGTTGTAGAGTGCTATATAAATAAAGTTTATTATTATATTATTATACTTGAGCTCAAAGACACACTCAATCTGGTGAGTAACATTAACAAGCCAATGTCAGACGGCACAATAGTCAAATCAAATTCATTTCTAAAGCCCATCTGTGAAGCACAGAAAAAAGAAACAGGGACACACTGCCTGCCAAACACACTGTTATCATGTTTACCAGCCAGTCTTTTCATCCAGGCCCCCTCATCTATTCCTAGGTTGTTATAGATGATTTTGAGAATGTTTCCCAGCAGAGTGTTCATGTGCTCAGAGGTCACGGAGGTGCAGCAGCTATCCGCTTTGTCTGAGTTGCCCTCTGGTCCATCTTCCCACCAATGAGACATGTAGCTGCATAACATGGGCAACACCACCTTCAGTAAAGGGAAGATTTCACACAGGAGGTTAAACTTTCATAGCTCACCCCTTCACAGGCCTCTAACACAGTAGCAAATTTTACTGGCAGTTTGACACTGAATCTACACAGATACAAACATTATATAGTATGAATACTATTGGTTCAATCAACAAAGCCTTAATATATCTAATAACCAGTCAGCAATGTCTGGCTCAATCACAGACAAACACTGGAGTACTGTAGGAGCACAATGTCACTCTAAAGACAAGGGTATACTTGTAAGTATACTGAGTAAAACTGCATAGTGTGAGAAGGCAGGTTTAATACATGTTTTATTAATGTGAGGAAATCAGTCTCTGCATTTACGTATGTAACCCATGCTAAGGACTGAGTAGCAGTAGGAAGCCAACAGTGCAACGCCGAGGGACAATCTCCACTTCAAAAGCTTTGGTTGAGAGACAATAAAAAAATTTGTTTCTAATATCTAACATAGCCCGTCCTTGAACTGCCACCTTATTGTGGTGGAGGGGTTTGAGTACCCGAGTGATCCTAGGAGCTATGTTGTCGGGGGCTATATGCCCCTGGTAGGGTCTCCCAAGGCAAACAGGTCCTGGGTGACAGGTCAGACTAAGAGGGGTTCAAAAGCCCTTTATGAATAGATTAAAATCAAGGACAGTGACGTCACCCGGCATGGCGCAGCCGGGGCCCCGGAGCCAGGCGCGAGGTTGGGGCTTGAAGGCGAGCGCCTGGTGGCCGGGCATCTCCTCACAGGGCCCAGCCAGGCTTAGCTCGAACGAGCGATGTGGGGACGTCCTCCCGTGGGCCCACCACCTGCAGGAGGATCCATAAGGGGCTGATGCACAGTGGATCGGGCAGCAGGCGAA